GGGACACAGTTCACATGTTTATCGGGACACAGTTCACATGTTTATCGGGACACAGTTCACATGTTTATGGGACACCTCACATGTTTATCGGGATACAGTTCACATGTATATCGGGATACAGTTCACATGTTTATCGGGACACAGTTCACATGTTTATGGGATACCTCACATGTTTATCGGGACACAGTTCACATGTATATTGGGACACAGTTCACATGTTTATCGGGACACAGTTCACATGTTTATCGGGACACAGTTCACATGTTTATCGGGACACAGTTCACATGTTTATGGGGACACAGTTCACATGTTTATCGGGACACAGTTCACATGTTTATGGGACACAGTTCATATGTTTATCGGGACACAGTTCACATGTTCATGGGACACCTAACATGTTTATCCTGCATCTAGACTAAAGATGGTTTTGATGTTCTAGGCTCTCTTCCATGGGAACAGATATGCAGATGCAGAGATACCAAAATATGTCTCCTATCAGGCAGAAATATCACTCAGGTTACAACCTTTAGAAATCAGAGGAGGTGAAGCCCGTCAATATAAATGAATTAAAGAACAAAAGAATTAAAGATTAATATAATTTTTAACAACAAATTTGGCAAAACTTTATTTGTTTCAACTTTGATATTGATAAGAGTATTTCGATCCTATTACTTTTATAACCATAGGTAGCTGTGTTTATACTGGATATCTGCACTCCCATCCAGTTAATCATACTTTTTATATCCAGGGGTAGCTGTGTATATACTGGAAATCTGCACTCCCATCTAGTTAATTAATCTTTTTATATCCAGGGGTAGCTGTGTTTATACTGGATATCTGCACTCCCATCCAGTTAATTATCCCAAAGGAGAAGGATCAAGACAGCAAATGGTAAATCTTGTGATGTATTTACTAAAATAAATTATTAAAAAATTGATGGATTTTGGGAAAAAGTAGCGCTGAATTTGTCTTGATAAAGGTATATTGGATCAAGAAGTAATATTGTGAAAGCAGGAGCCTATCAAAGAAATGTATTGCAATTACCAGGCTTATTTTCAACATGACTTGGACAAATTGTTCTCTATTTTATTTGAAAAAAAAAAGTTTTTGACAGAATTTTTTAAATTAGAAATCAATAAGAACAAAACCGCTCAAAGAAATTATTATTACTTAAAAGTTAGAGTTAAGACAACTTCGTTATCCTATTGGACATGGAAGTGTTCAGAAAATATTAATAAAATTAATTAAACTTATAAGAAAATCGAACTATGGACTTTGCAATAATAGTTTGAAAATCATTGCTTTTAATGGGACTGTAAAAGAAAAGTGAAAGGGGGTATAGGCTGAAACCTAAGAATTTCAGGAGTTGAATAATGCTTGTAAGACATCTATCTGATGTTCCTGGAACCGTGTCAAAATTATACCAAAACGTATATATGTCCGTATCACGTGACAATAATACTGCACTGTCATTAGTTGGAGTTCTGGTGACATGTTCCGGACGCAAAAATAATATTATCAATTATATCTATTAAGAATGAAAAATTATTAAATTCAAATAATAATAGGAGCAAACTTGAGTTTCTCAAATCTCAGGCTTCTCTGCGATATCGTTGTTTTCAGATTGGTTACGTATTTGTTGAATATGATCTGTTTAATACTACGAATCTTATACAAAATCTTACATTGGAGGGAGTTCTGGTCACGTGATACGGACGTATATCTTACATATATACGTTTTGGTATAATTTTGACACAGTTTTATATTAATTTCTTGAGACAGGAACATCAGATAAAAATCTTAAACGTCTCATTTAACTCCTGAGATTTTCAGGTTTCAGTTTATACCCCCTTTAATTTTTCCTTAACAGTCCCTTTAAAGATAAACAGGTAGAATAATTAGTATGCTACAGTTTAACCAACAACTTGGGAAACATCATAAGAATTTATAAAATAGAATAATTAGTCTGCTACAGTTTAACCAACAACTTGGGAGACATCATAAGAATTTATAAAATAGAATAATTAGTCTGCTACAGTTTAACCAACAACTTGGGAGACATCATAAGAATTTATAAAATAGAATAATTACTATGCTACAGTTTAACCAACAACTATGGGAGACATCAATCATCATAAGAATTTATAAAATGTTGTTTTCTAATCCTACATCATGGTGGAATGCTGCAGATATTAAGTTAATAAATTGAATAATTATAAAGAGCTCTTAAAAGTGTTACCACATAATTCATGGCTTTTTATTTAGTTTTACAATTATTTACAATCACCTAGATTTAGGTTTAATAGTATAAAACCAATTGAAAAACTTGTCAAGAAGACATTTTATAAATTCTTTTGATATTCCCCAAGTTCCGGCTGAAACTTTAATTACTTTTCTAACTTTCATAATTTTTAAAAACTATTCTAAGGTGACTCATTACCAGCACGAGGATGATAACAATATGTTCTTGATCAAAAGATGGGAGGACACTATACAATCATTCAACTCTTCACAGCTTGTTAGGAATATAACTTATAGTTTTTATTATTCCTCACAGCTATTAAGGAATATAAATCATATTTTTATTATTCTTCACAGCTTGTTAGGAATATAATTTATAGCTTTTATTTGGCTCACAGCTCGTTAGGAATACAATTCATAGTTTTATTATTCCTCACAGCTTGTTAGGAATATAATTCATAGTTTTATTATTCCTCACAGCTTGTTAGGAATATAACTTAAAGTTTTTATTATTCCTCACAGCTTGTTAGGAATATAATTCTTAGTTTTATTATTCCTCACAGCTTGTTAGGAATATAATTTATAGCTTTTATTTGGCTCACAGCTTGTTAGGAATACTATTCATAGTTTTATTATTCCTCACAGCTTGTTAGGAATATAATTTATAGTTTTTATTATTCCTCACAGCTTGTTAGGAATATAATTCATAGTTTTTATTATTCCTCACAGGATGTTAGGAATATAATTCATAGTTTTTATTATTCCTCACAGGATGTTAGGAATATAATTCATAGTTTTTATTATTCCTCACACCTCGTTAGGAATATAATTCATAATTTTATATTCAGCTCACAGCTTTTTAGGAATATAATTCATAGTTTTATTATTCCTCACAGCTTGTTAGGAATACAATTCATAGTTTCTATTTTTCTCACAGCAGCTTGTTAGGAATATAATTTCTATATAATAAAGCAAGACATTCGTATATATGTTCCCTATAGCCGGGCAAACGACTGGACCGCATGGGCTGACATGGGTCGCCGGGGGCTGACATAAGATAAAAAATTTAAATTTTCTTTTTTAAATTTTTTTTTCACGTGCCCTTCAGCTTGTTTTACTATTTTCAGATTGTTAGGATATAATATCTACCTACTTTACTCTCATTTTTTTAAGGTTTACGCAATTGTTTAATGAAATAAATAAAAAACCTATGATTTATATAGACATGGTGACTTGGTTCGCCTGGAGCATATAAATACAGGTAAAAATCTACTCTTTTAGTTTTAACAATCTTTTCTTTTATATTCTATTAGGTCACACCTATTTTTACAGATCTGTTTACACTTTTTTCTTCAATTTCAAAATCTAATTGTATATACATCTATCTCTCTGCATTAATTTATCTTTCTATTCTTCTAATCTCTACCTCATCTTTCTGTTAATATATCTATCTTTCTATTCTTCTAATCTCTACCTCATCTTTCTGTTAATTTATCTATCTTTCTATTCTTCTAATCTCTACCTCATCTTTCTGTTAATTTATCTATGTTTCTATTCTTCTAATCTCTACCTCATCTTTCTGTTAATTTATCTATCTTTCTATTCTTCTAATCTCTACCTCATCTTTCTGTTAATTTATCTATCTTTCTATTATTCTAATCTCTACCTCATCTTTCTGTTAATTTATCTATCTTTCTATTCTTCTAATCTCTACCTCATCTTTCTGTTAATTTATCTATCTTTCTATTCTTCTAATCTCTACCTCATCTTTCTGTTAATTAGATCTTTCTATTTATCTTTCTGTCTTTATTTAATTGCCTGTCCGTCTAATTGTCTATTTATCTGATTGTTTTTTAGTCTATTAATCGATCTATATAAGGATATAATTGTTTATTTGTTACTGAATTGTATCAATTAAATAGTACGTCATTTCTTACTCTTCTCTGTATCAACTACACGTTAAAATAATCATGCTTATTATCTTAATTCTTTGAAAATATTGATTTTTCATTATTTTTAGGAAGAAATATTCATTCTCATAATGTAGCGAGCAGTATTGTTAAAAATCATTACCAGGCATGTAGATTGTAGATTACTAGGTTTTGGGGTGCTTCGCGACCTTTGCATTTCAATGTCAGAGATCTTGGATATTTCAAACTATGAATTATTTTAGATCAATTAATAATAGTTTGAAATATCAAAGGTTAACACCATCAGGTTGCAAACATATAGCGATTTGAAAATCAGAATTTGTGGCTAAAACTCAATTCCTTTTGGCTGATTTTTCTGTTTCAATTAATGCATTTTCTAAAAAAATAATAAATGTCGACATTTTTTAACCAGGCAAAGTTGTTCAAACTTGACCATCCATCAACCTTCATCGGTTTTTTTGGGATACAAACAAACAAATAGTCAGAAAATCCAAATTTTTATTTAGATAGAAATTAAAGAGAAAAAAAGTGTAACATTTAGTTTGTTACTGCATGATGTCCTTTAATGCTTTGTTACATTTCACCCAACCTAAACCCTACATATTTGCCACCTCATCTTTGATATTTAATTTTTGGCTAGAATTCATAGTTTGCTATATCAAAGGTCATATCATCCGGTTGCAAAGATATAAGGAATACAAATAAATAAGGATACATAAATCACACTTCTTGATACAATGTTTCGAATTTGTCATTTTTCCAAAATATAACAAAAAACTGTTATTTCTGAACCAAAAATTGGACCGGCTGCACTTTAATAAATCTATGAAACCTAGAAAATATTTAATTTCAACTTGTTCAGGTTACTGGGTATGGATGGAAAGGTAAAGGGGACGCCAATGACATCTGGAGAGTAGAATTGAAGGTTCTAGAATTTTTAATTCTTTTAGCCAAGAAATTGCTCGTTGTCGCAATATTTGAAAAGATGCTCTTTATGGCTATTGTTCCATTTCAAGAAATAGAAATATTTTCAAAACAAAACTTTTAAAAATCTCTAGATTTAATGATTCAAACTTTTTTCATTGAACATTTCCTTTCATAAATCTTTTTAACATTTACAAGGGGTTTACATTTTTTTTCAATCCTAATTTACATCTAATATTTTACAGTTTTATTCTCATCAAATAGATTATCAAGTACAATAGGTACAATAGATTGTAACTAGATTTGAAAGAAATTTTAATAAGGAAAAACTTCAAGTTTGAATGATGGGGGTTTTAACTTTTCAAAGAATTTGATTGAATTTACCACCATTAGGCCTTTTTCCTTATTTGAATTCTATTTCCTTCAGATATCTATAATTCATATCTTAAATTTCATTATTCAGTTGTTATTGTATTTGTTTTGGTTGAGTATTAGATTATATATTTTATACTTTTAGAATGGAAGACAGGGTGATCCAGTTCAAACTATTACTTCTGAGATTACACTCAGGTCTCAGTTTGGGATAATCTTTTACTCTCCTAAGGGATCAAAAAGTGCCTACATTGAATATTGAAATCAAACTCCCATTTTTAACGATACTCCACATTAAACATCAGTTTAAGAAAATTTTAACTAGGATTTTTTCTTTTGTTTTTAATGGTTCCATTTCCTCGCAAAACTACCTCCTTATCCATAACATTTTTTAAATTTGGTTTACTTCATAATATTAATACAGGAACAGGTGTTTAAATAAAAAATAATTTTTTAGGCATTATCATTTAAACTGCATTCTCTCAACTACAGGACATCCGTTACCTAGATGGGGTCTTGGACAGGATCAGGTTCTTTGCTCAAAGTAAGCCACGGACTTGACTGACTTGACTGACTTGACTGACTTGACTGACTTGACTGTCTTGACTGTCTTGACTGACTTGATTGTCTTGACTGGCTTGTCTATCTTGACTGACTTGACTGACTTGACTGACTTGACTGACATGACTGACTTGACTGACTTGACTGACTTGACTGACTTGACTGACTTGACTGACTTGACTGACTTGACTGACTTGACTGACTTGACTGACTTAACTGACTTGACTGACTTGACTGACTTGACTGACTTGACTGACTTGACTGACTTGACTGACTTGACTGACTTGACTGACTTGACTAAACTAACTTACTTTGATTAACTTGACTGACTTGACTGAGTTTAGATGGGATTTAAGCCTGGATGAAAGTTTGCCAATGGGTTGCTCAAGGTGGCGTGTTATCAAGAATTTGATCAATAATCCTGAGATTGAAAGGATCAAGATCAACTCCCTGACACCTTCTTTCTGGGAAAAATTTGTCCTAAACCATGAGGTCAGATTTATAAAATTATTTTATGAATAAATGTAATGTTTTAATCGTTGAAAAGGAATTGAGTATTTGCCACAAACTCAAATTTTCTAATCCCTAAATTATCCCAACCTTTGATATTTTAAACTATGCTTATTTAATCTAACAGAATTTATATTTTGAAATATATAAGGTCCATGACATTAGTTTGTACAGATATTGGGATTTTAAAGCAGAGTTTGTGGCAAAGGCTCAATTCCTTTATGCGAAAATTTAAATTTTTAATAAATTATCTCATTTATTTTTTTACCTGTAATTTTTTCTTTATAACTTAAGAACGTAAGAAAGAAAGAGTATGGAAAGGACAGTGGGCACCACCAAAACACCTAGACCTAGCAAGATCAAGGGTTAGGGGGTTGACCCCAAGTAGGTTGTATACATGGTTTGTTAGTACGAGTATAGGAACAGACATAACAGTACTACCTGAGTACAAAGTAAGGGAGTGAGTAAGAGGTGAATAGTTGAGAATTGTACTAAAGGAAGAACTGTGTGAGATAGGAATAGAGTAGTAAATAGGTAGTCCAAACCGCAAGCAGGTACATGAAATAGTTGAAAGCAAAGCAAAAATCAAATGGGTGGTGGGTGGGTTTGAAGTACAACTGTAGTTGTAGACGTAGATCTTGAGTAACTGGAGTGAGGACGTATGGTATAGAGGAGTAAGAGAAAGCCAGGTAGTTAGTAGAAACATGTATAAAGGAGAGAGCGTGAAGTGTACACTGGTACAAGCAGAGGGAATTCCCCAGTTGTCGTCTTCACTCAGATCAACTCACAGGCATTCTGTCCGTGACCTAATCAAACATTGAAAATTTGATATTATTGGAAAACTAATTTTTAGATGTTTACAATAAACTAATTTTAAGATGATGTTTACAATAAACTAATTTATACTTTTTACTATTCGCACATTTCTCTTTCTCTCATTTTTACTACCCGCTCTTTTTACTCCTAGTAATTGAGTCTATGCCACAAACTCTGATTTTCTAAACTCTATATCTTTGCACTCCAATTGTGTAGACCTTAGATATTTTAAACTAAATATGAAAGGTTTACACCATAAGGTTGTAAAGATGAAGGATTTAGTTTATATAAATTTGGGGCAAAGACAGAGTTTTTTCTCTTTATTTTATTACTTCCTGCATTTACTTTTTTCGCAATTTTTTCTGTCAAGTTTTGTCTTAAAATGACTGTCGATTTATTAAAAATATATTTAACATGTTTCAAGCCAAATTAAAAGATTATCAAGATTTTCATGTTTTTTTCAATCTAAAATTTATATTTTTATTTGCGTTCTTTTTCTTGTTACTTTGGATTCACGAAGAAGAGATAATGAAGGATATTTATCCCTTTTTATGTTCCGCATTGTTACTTAAATAATGGTTATAAAACGGACATATTCCATTTATAATTGCGTCTACATTCCCTTTAACATTTTCTTTTTTACATAATGCTTTTTTCTCTCTCTCATATTTCAAGTTTCAAATTTTTTTTCCTGTATGTTGACTGTTTCTTTGGGAAATTTGTTTATCTCCTTTATTTTCTTTTTATACAATTTATTTTGCTTTCAGAACGAAATAAATATACGTTAGAGGAGATTCAAACCAAGACTGAGAAAAATAAATCAATAAACCTGAAGTCTAACGATGAAAAATCCGAACTAATGATTCTAAAGAAAGATGAAGAATCCGAACTAATGATTCTTAAGAAAGATGAAGAATGTGAATCAATGATTCTAAAGAAAGATGAAGAATCCGAACCAATTATTCTAAAGAAAGATGAAGAATTCGAACCAATAATTCTAAAAAAAGATGATGAGTCTGAACTAAAAAGAAGGTTGGAGGATGAGTGCAGGATAATCTCTGGGTTGGGTTGGATGCTCCTTGGTTGGGGTTTACACTATCTTCCATTCTTCATGATGGGACGGGTCTTGTATCAGCATCATTATTATCCAGCCAGGTAAAAAATAAGAAAGTAACAAATTTGGCAAATAAGGATGATGTGCATGTTTTATGGTATCTATCCAAAGGGCTCAGCTACATTTTGCCTAGTCAAAACTTGCCTAGTTCACTCTTGCCTAGGTAACATTTTGCCTAGGTAACTTTTTGCCTAGTTCAAGTTTGCCTATTAACATTTTGCCTAAAGTAACATTTTGCCTAGGTAACACTAGAGCATGTTTTTTCACTATTGCGTTTTTTTTAAAACATATTTTGTCAAAAATTAAACATTTTTTAAGCTTAACCAGTTAAATTTTAATGAATTAAATGTTATAGAACAATTGAATTTATCTTGTCCAGCAATTTTAACACTTTTTATACTTTACAACAGATGAAATATGGTTATACATCAGATATATATATATATTTTTTAATTACAGTTTACATCATTATTTATCTTATTTCTCAATCACAGCCTTTCTGTGGTCTTAGCTTTATTCTTCAGTAGCCGGTTGGTATGGCCATGGGTTGGGAGTATACATCCCCTACCAGGTTTCCAGTAGATATCCTCGTTGTTAGGGTTGCAGTGTAAGAACAGCGCCATTTCTGGGTCTCTGCCCTCTTCCCATCGAAAACATAGGATAAGTTATTCTTTTCCCTGTAGTTGGGATTACCCCCAATGGTAAGCCCTGCAGTTATCATGGGAGCCATTTTCAATGTGTCTTTCGATCTGATTGGTTTATAGAAAATTGAACTATTTTCAAAAATTTGCGAAAATTTTGCCAAAACATTTGCAGATTTTTGAAAAAAAATCTCGGATTGTTGAAAATTTCTTTGGGAATAAATTATTGACTAGGCAAAAAATTCGCTCTATTGTTACCCTAGGCAAATGTTATTAGGCAAAATGTTATTAGGCAAAATGTTATTAGGCAAACTGTTACCTAGGCAAACTGTTACCTAGGCAAAATGTGACTAGGCAAATTGTGAATAGGCAAAATGTAGCTGACCATTCAAAGTGATAAAAGTTGACTTTTATGACTTTAAATAGTCCGATGAGCATAAGGTACATCTAATGTGCAGTGTAAGTAGGCCCATTTCACTTAATAAGTTATTTAAAAACTAAATAGTAAAACTATTTGTTTAGAAACAGCATCAAATGCACTTCAGTATTGATTTAATGTCGTCTTCCTATTTTACAGTTTTCTGGTTCTCACTGTAAATTTTTGATTTGTGAAAAGGGTCCTCCCTCCAGTGTTTGAGCTCCATATTATGAAACTGATTAAGTTTTATGTGTAAATTAGAGATTTTGATTTCGTCCAAAAAAAGTTTTTTCTTTAGTATATTCATCTCTCTGTTCTCTGCGTCCTTGGTTGAACTGCTGGTTCGAAACCTGTCTCCGATTCTGCGGAACCTGATCCTAGGTTCTCTACTCCTCATCCTTCTCCTCTCATTCTCTCTCTTCTCCCCTATAGTTTACGGGATACCTGGAGACAAGGCGAGGTTTAGGAACTCGTCCTACCATTATCTTCACTGGACGGACTATTGGGATTTTTAGAAAATATTTACAAGAATTGTATCCTTGTATACTTTAAGTTAAACTTTTAATAGAGATAGCTTCTTCATAAATGGTTTTTTTCCTGAGAGATAATTTCAAAAATGCCCAATTCACAACGTTACCTTTAAAAGCTTGTTTGATTAATAATGAATAAGATATCTGTGATGTCTTTTTAAAGGATTAGTTAATACTGTTTTGATTTCTCTTTATAGTCACAGCTACTCAATGGACTCTTTTTAATCTTGAAAAATAATGATATTTTCGACTTTATGAACAAAATTCCCTTCAAGAAAAAAGGTTTGACTTAAAATATGTACTTCCGATCAAAATATGGAAATTTTGTTTCACTTACCTATTGTTTAAAGGGAGTGTTCGCGAAAAATGAAAGGCGGTATAGGCTTAATGCGATAAAAAAGTGCTTTTGATCGCTACTATTTTGACTTCTATCTGTTGTGTCTATAAGGAGAAAATTGCTAAAGACGTCTCATACCGAATAACTTAGCACCCATACAAGTTGAGAAAATTGCAACATACGACTTAGACCGTAAAAAATCAATTTAATTTCAAACAAATCATTCAGATATTACAACCTATAGTCATCGATTATCTTTCGCCACATTTGTATATAGTTTATATTTTATAATATTTTTGATTTCGTTTTTTTAAAGATATTTCTCTGGCGCTGGATTTTCGAACATTCCTGGAAAATATGAACATGTCATCTTCGTTATCAAAAATCCTCGAAACAGGAATAAAAGTAACTATCAGATTATAAATAATAGAAAATATTATGAAATAACTACAAAATACGAATGCGTTGAAAAATTATCGATGATTATCGGTTGTAATAACTGAATGATTTGTTTGAAATTAAATTGATTTTTTACGGTCTAAGTCGTATGTTGCAATTTTCTCAATTTATATTTTATTTTTTTACGATCCGAGTTATATGTTGCAACTTTCTGCATTTGTATTGACGTTACGTTCTTTGGTATAAGTCGGTTTTAACAATTTGCGCCTTATAGACGCAACAGATAGAAGTAAGATTAGCAGCGATCAAAAGCGATTATTTTTCGCATTAAGCCTATACCCCCTTTCATTTTTCGCGAACACTCCCTTTAATGTTAACGGTATACAGAGTAACTTCTTATAAATAAATGATTATACATAATCTTAAATATGGAAAATAAATTCATTATTTTTAAACATTTAAATTACCAATAAAGTTTGGAGTATCCCATGAAGCTCCCTTTTTTCTGCTTTCAATATTACTAAAGTAAAATTGAAATCTAAACGAAATTCTTAATATCTCAGGCAATATTGACAGCACAAAGGGAAATAACAGGACTAGGAGAATTTTGTGTTTATTGTTTCAAGAATCACACATGTCAAAGTAGGTTGACGAAAAAATGAAACGCATAAATTCAAAGATCAAAGACGGCTTTCAAATAGTTTCATCATGTTTCGTTGGACACCCTGTAATTTTGCCTCATTGTCCAATAATATCGTTGATGCACATCCAGGGATGTTTAGTTTATTCATCTTTTAAAATGATTTGTTTATTTCTTTATATCAAAAAAGTCGAAATGACGTAAGACCTTTGACGTAGAAAAGGGATTAAAGTGGGAGGATTGATTGATGGGGAATTTAGCTTTAAACAGAGAAATAATGAGTCTTTGCCACAAACTCAAATTTTATAATCCCTATGTTTTTTCCAGCCTATGTCACAGACCTTATATACGGATAAAAAATGGCGACTTTCGGAACGACAGTTAAAGGCTTAAATTTTTAATAGGAAAGACTTGATTTAAAGTGACTAAAAACAGAAACAAAAAAAATTAATTTTTTTTTTGTTTTGAATAAAATAAAATTTAAAATATTTTAGTATTTTCAAGAAAAAGAATATGGCCGGATATATTCTATAAACACCCATTTTGTAAAAATGCATTCTCATCACTATCAATGTAAGTTCAATTTATATTTTTTGCAAACTTCTAGACAATAAGATATTTCAGGAATTCTTGAGTATTTAGCATTTATAGAATAAAATGTTTTAAGCAGTTGATTGAAATCTTTCCTGCTTCTTATATTGAAAAGCTTTTGAAGCGAAAAGCGTATTTTGAATATCTAATATTTAATAATAAAGAAACATCAGAACTTTAATCAATAGTTCAAAACAGTCTCTGCAACAGTTTGTAAACAAGATACAGAAGCCTCAGAAATATTGATAGAAAAACGTGATTTCTAGTTAACAAAGTTTAATTAAGTATTCAGAGCTGAAAACTTTAGAATGCGATATCCTTAATCCCGATCATAAATATAGGAACTGAGTTCTGGCCAAAAACTTGAATTTTCTATAATCCCTATAATTTTGCAACTTGATAAACCTTTGATATTTCAAACTTAGACTATTTAATCCAACAGAATTCGTAGTTTGAACTTCCGAGGTCTACAATCTCTGGTTGTAAAGATATAGAGATTTAATAACAAGAGTTTGCGACAAGATCTCAGCTCCTTTTCTTTCCTGGATTTTACTTGTGCGTAAAATTAAAACTAGAGGAGGTACGAGGACACCAAGTCAGTCCAGAAAACCGAAAATTTAAATTTTCCCAAATATAAACAGGCAGTGTGATTTTTTTATCATGTCTAAGGTATTTAGGTATTTTCTGCTTCAACATAATTTATAATTTAAAAAAATGGTTTTATTTATTCACGGGTTTACAATTTTATTAATCGAGCAATATATCGATATAGTTTATAGTACAGACAGCACTAATAATGTAAATCAAGATATCCAGGATAGAGATACATCTTGCTCCTGATCCACCGTAGTCAAACCTTCTAAAACAAAATAGAAAAATTCTATTATACTTGAACAGATTTCTAAATATCGTATTAATATATTTTATTAAATTAGTTTGCACTTTATCCTTAGATCATGCTTTATTTCGTTATAAAACTACTTTACAGTAATTTTTGACAATATTTACTTCCTATCTCAAAGGTTCTTTCTAAAGCTTGGAACACAATATAATCTAAAAATGCTAAATTATTTCGGATTAAAAGTAAATTTCTGCAGTTCTCTAACAAAAAGAAAAATGGGGTTTAGCAGATGATTAAAAAGTCAATTCTCTTGTTTGATTTAAATATATTATATATTCTATCGATTTAAATATATTATATATTCTATCGATTTAGTCTCTAAAGTTGGAGATATGTCCCCGCCGACATTACTTCCCATGTCGGTTAAAATATGAATTACCGATTCAAAGTCAAAGATTAAGGTATGATCTGAATCAGTGATTCAAATTTTAACCGGCGGTAGGTAGTTCAAGTTCAATAAATTTGGTCCCAGGACACATTTCAATGACATTTTTAAATGAAAGATTTATTTAAATTTTTCTTAATTTAACGCCCAAAATTATAATTCCATCGAATTATATAAATTTGAAACAATTTGCATCAATTTGTATTAATTCGTATAATATTATAATTTACAGGGTGACTAAAAAGATGAATAGCGAGATATTGTACGTAATAAATCAGTTTTTTTGGTAATCTCATTTTTGAAACATTTGTATAAAATTTTAGATTTTTTTTGATAAAAAGAATTTAGACTTCATAAATAATCAAAATGATTATTTTCAAAAATAAAATTGCGGATTTTCTGAATTCAATTTTGCCACATTTTCTCCGAAACAACTCATCTGAGCCCGTGTTTTAAAAATTTCGGGAAAATACGGCTCTGGTCAAAGCTGTCAATGGGCCTTATTTACGGCATGAGCTTTCGGATTCAAGCTGCATCTTATTTTCAACAATGTTGAGTTAAAAAACCGGTATAATATTCTATTCGGCGGATTTTCATGGTAGGAATCGGCGCATTCCGGGTTTTTATTAGAACAAGACTCAACATTGAGCCTTATTCTCCACTAAAACCAACCAAGGTCGGTTTTATTTTCATTGGGTCTTACTCCTTCAGTCGAGCCGAAGATCTTGAAGCTGTCAATCACGTGACACAAGCTGTCGTTAGAGTTGGGTCGAAGATTTGGTCTTAAAGTCGGGTTTAAGGAATTACGACTCGATATGAAGTTTTTAAATCGCGAGCTCTGATCTTTTTAAGATTTTAAGGTGTGGTCAATCATATTGCCTATCAATAAAAAAAAAAATTCTAAAATTTCACACATTTTCGTCAAAAATGAGATTACCAAAAAATTATTTATTATGTGCAATAACTTGCTGTTTTTTTCTACTCCCCCTCTAGATTTGAATTATATATGTAAGGCAATAGAACAACAAATGATAATTTACGCCGCATCAATTGAATTTGAAATGCCTTAGGAAGCCTTTAAACAGAATAGTTTCAAACTAAAGAGAGAGTTCCTGATTCTTAAACACGATTGATTTTTAGTTATCTGTTTAGTTTGTTATCTATTCAATAAAGCTCTTTGCTCATAAATACATATATATGTATATATGTTAGCTATCGCTGCAGACCAAACGGTTGTGCAAAATTGGATACAAAATTTGAGGAATCCAAATGGGTACCCTGGGGGTAACATTAGGCTAAAAAAACGATTTTTTTTCAAGATCAGATTTTCCACCTAGTTTAATCTAGAGGAACTGATAACTCTCCTAAAACTCGTATTTTCTAATCCTGATATATTTAAAACCTGTTTTCGTAGTCGAGACGTTTGATATTTCAAATTATGAAATCTGTTCAATTTTTATATAAAGATCAGATTTGAAACAGGAATTTTTCCAGGAGGGGGTTTAACATCTTTTATATTTCGGAGGGGAGATTTTACTGATTCCCTGGGGTGAGCTTCGATATAGCCCCCCCTGTATTGTGTATACACGTCTTACAAAGATATGAACAGGTATTAGAAAAATGTTTAAAGAGATAAATCAGTTATTTATTTATTTACCATGGGAAAAGGAAGCATGTGACCTACATTAGTTTAATATTTTAAGTAGCTAAAAAATGTCTGAAATTTGATCAAACTTAGCATAAAATTGAAATAAATTATACCCAACGTTTTTCGAAATATTGATAGAAAAACGTGATTTCTAGTTAACAAAGTTTAATTAAGTATTCAGAGCTGAAAACTTTAGAATGCGATATCCTTAATCCCGATCTGTTAATTAATCTGGAGATTAAATTCATGAGGACAACAAGTAATATTTAATCTGGAGATTAAGAAAAAGAGTGAATCAAGCATTAATCCTGATATTCACCATTCTAAAGTTTCCAGCTCAGGTTTGTTAAGTTTTTAAAACATTTTTCGGGGTTTTCTTCTCTTTTATGTGTTTTACTGATTGAAATTAATTTTTACTTTGTAAATTATGAAACTTTTAACATAAATGGAAAATCCGGCAAAAAATGTTACTATTTGCAGAGGCCGAATTTAAAGAATTTGAGCCGCGGGTTAAATTTAAGCCGCGGCTCAAATATGGTTGGTTCCACTGCAGTAAATTGTATTCAATTGTTCAAGATTTGAGTCGGCGCTCAGTTAAAACCGGTTTTTTGGGGATTTGAGATGCGGCTTAAATTCAATAAATTCGGATACCGGTTACTTAATTTGTGTCTACTGCAGCTTCCTTAAAAATGTCATATACAAGGTGTCCCACGAACCATGATAGTAGTGTGAACTGACATGAAGGTCGTCTGTTATATTTAAAACAATTTGCGGCATTAATTTGTTTTAATTTTAGTAGTAAAATTCTTGAGTTAAACATCACAAAATATCCCTAATCAAACCAAATTTTGGAAATGCCGGGATTAGGAGAATTTTGTGCATGTTAAAGTAGGTTGAAAAATATTTGCTATACTTGTTTCCCTACTGTTTCGTAGGATTCCCCTGTATCATAAGTTCATAACTTGTTTCTCTACTGTTTCGTAGGACACCCTTGTATCATAACTTGTTTCCCTCCTGTTTCGTAGGATACCCCTGTATCATAACTTGTTTCCCTCCTGTTTCATAGGATACCCCTGTACCATAACTTGTTTCTCTACTGTTTGTGAAGTATACCCCTGTATCATAACTTGTTTCTCTACTGTTTCGTAGGATACCCCTGTATCATAACTTGTTTCTCTACTGTTTCGCAGGATACCCCTGTATCATAACTTGTTTCTCTACTGTTTCGTAGGATACCCCTGTATCATAACTTGTTTCTCTACTGTTTCGTAGGATACCCCTGTATCATAACTTGTTTCTCTACTGTTTCGTAGTATATCCCTGTATCATAACTTGTTTCTCTACTGTTTCGTAGTATACCCCTGTATCATAACTTGTTTCTCTACTGTTTCGAAGGATACCCCTGTATCATAACTTGTTTCTCTACTGTTTCGTAGGATACCCCTGTATCATAACTTGTTTCTCTACTTTTTCGTAGGATACCCCTGTATCATAACTTGTTTCTCTACTGTTTCGTAGGATACCCCTGTATCATAACTTGTTTCTCTACTGTTTCGTAGTATACCCCTGTATCATAGCGCCATTCCTATTCCTGACCTTTTAACCTTTACTATTTAGCAGGGAAACAACTACCAAGTTTACTTTAGAATTTGTTACATTTTTTCTGGTCGTCATTAAATAGTTTTAAAAAACAGATTCTAAAAAATGTCCCTCAAAAATAGACAATCTTTGAGAATTTTGCGATTATTCCTGAACAAAAATTCACACTTAAAAACCTCTGATTTATCTCAAATGAATCTCAAAAACTTTCTTTACAATACTGCATTCTTAGCTCAACTGTACCATGTCTAGCTAGACACTCCCTTTAAATAATATTTTTAACATGTTTTCGCCGCTGTTATACAATTTAAATCCGCCAGGATTGTATAAAACTGAGTTATTTGTAATTTTATTGTTTAAATCATTAAGTTTTTATATTAAAAGGATTACCTTGTATTATCCAGTTGATATACAACAATTCTGAAAAAATATTTTGATGTTCAATTAATTGGCTTCGTTTAGCCTAAAGGGATTGTTAAGATATTTATGTTATGTCTAAGGTAGAAATTTTTGATGAAAGGATAATTCCTGGCTGGGCCACAATGAAAAACTATAAACATGGATAAAATAGGGATGATAAAGTTAGTTAGTAGCAAGGTTGTAATGCATGGAAAGCTATTTCAGAGGTGTACGCATCTTTTGTATTGCAGTGTACTGTCTATTGGCGGTAATGTAAACACAAGACAGATGTCGAAGCCTGACATGGGATCCATCTTTCACATAAAAAATCAATGAAATATTCTGGTCATAGGAAACTTTTATGTGAATTATCAAAATTATTAAAATTTAATGCCCAGAGAGAACTGGTTTCAACATGAACGCAGAGTACATGCAATTGTAATTAACTTTCCTTGCATTACAACCTTGGTTAGGTGACTTTTTATTCCAATCACCATTCAAAAATTTTTTGTTCGGGCAACTTTATAATTTGTGAATAGAGATCATTTATTAGAACATTTTCAACCTGACAGTTGCTGAATCTGCTCCCTGTGGGCTGCAGGTATACTCTCCACCCTCATTCATCTCCATACTTAATACATATTAATTAATATTCAGTCTGAGCAACTAAAGTAAAATAATTGTTGTCTTTGTTTTTACTTTTGTTTAATTTGTTTCATTTGTGTAGTTGAATTCTGGGAACATTTCAACATATTGATAAATAAATCAATTAGAAATTATAAGATACCATGCGATGTCTTCTTAATAAAAAGAAAGAGAGAAGACGACAATTCATTGGTAGGAGGAGGAGAGGGTCACTGGGGAGGGTAGGGGGGGGGGGGGAGGGGCCTGAGAGGAACATACTACACCCAGAAACATAAAAGGAGAAATAGAAGGTTTAACTGCACTTCTTTCCCCTGAAAGTTAACTTATTCTATCATTCATGAAAAATTTTCATTTCGTTATCGAAATATAAACTTATTAGCCCAATGAAAACAAATTTCCTGACTTTTGTTTTTACTCTGATTGTAATCACATATTTGATCTAAGGATCGAATATTATTTTGACGAATTTTATATTTTTCAAATCTTAATTTTAAACACCATAGTTTTCTTCTCTTTAAACGTAATTTTTTCAAAACCGATAGTGTCCTAATTACAACTTTGTCTGATCAAGATCCATGTGCTACATCACAGTCAGCCCAGTATCAAAAGAAAAAAACTAAGGGCCAATAGCTTGCGACATTTCAAAGTCAGTCCCATCTCAAAAGAAAATACAGGTGTCAAAGACTTGCTATACTTCAAAGTCAGCCCGGTCTCAAAAGATAATGCGTAATTTACACCTCGTTTACGCGTTTAAGTTTCAGAGGTTTCAGGACAAAAAACAGAAGGAGAAGGACAAATTTATGGACATTACTGATACAACTTTGTAACCTCGTAGCTCCTATAGTTTTAATTTTACGATACAACTTTGTGACCTCGGAGCTTATCTAGTTTTCATTTTAGAAGTCAATGGCTCTTCAATAAAATGATTTATGATTGAAAACTTTTAAGATTTAAATTTCCCAATTAATTTACTTTAGTTTAACGTGGCTTTGTCATGGGATTGAGAAAGGAAAATATAAGCTTTAAATCTATCAGATAGTATCTACTGTCTAGATATTTCTGTTTTTCCAATACGGTTGACGCTATGCTTGTTTTTATAAAAACTAAAGATCTGAATAGAGATTATGCAGTAAAAACAAACCTTGAGTCTACATTCTCCTCTTTAAAGTTTCTTTTTATATTTATACATAAATATATATATATATATATATTAGCCCGATGAAAACAAATTTCTTGACTTTTGTTTTTACTCTGATTGTAATCACATATTTGATCTAAGGATCGAATATTATTTTGACGAATTTTATATTNTATATAGATATATATGTATATCCGTTCTTCCTCTAGAAGTTGTCCACCACAGTGTACACGGAAGTCCAGGGGACTCTTTTATAAATACCACTCCTGTTGCCGATTCCATTAGAGCCTGATACAATCATGGTGCCATGTGTTTGGTGTCTATTCTGAATGAAAATAAATTGCATGGCGGTAACATCTATCTTTTTATCTATATTTACTTCTACTGAAATTATATTGATACCTAGATTCAAGATTTATATATAAATATATATTTCCGCTCTTCCTCTTGCAGTAGTACACAACGGTGTACACGGAAGTCCAGGGGACACATGTCAATATATAGTAAACAGTAGCATACATGCTTACCAAGTGAAGAAATGTGGTGGTGTAGTGTGTTCAGTTACTACACATTCAAGAGTAACAGATCCTCCTTCTACAACCCTGGAAACGATGGATAAATAAAAAATACGAAATAAAAAAAATAAAAAGTAAACTCTAGACCTGTTCAAAGCCTTTGACTTCTAAAGGAATTGAGTCTTTGTCAAAAACTGAGTTTTTGGCACGAACTAAAATTTTCTAATCCCCATATCTTAACAGTACCCAATGTAATTATTTTAGACAAAATAATCCAAGTTTTAAATGTCAAAGGTTAACACCTTCAGGTTGCAAAGATACAGGGAGAAGAAAGTTTAATTCTGTGGCCTTGGTTCAATTTCTTTATAAATCATATTATTTTTAAATCTTTAGAATTAATCATTCGATTATTTGAATCATTATTGTAAAGTTGATTCGAAGACGACAGTGAAGCAATCTTATGTATTTTTGATGTTTCTCTATTATCTGGAAAATCAACAAAGCGAAAGGGATTAGTGTTTACTGCACAATTCATGTGTTTAATGTTTATCGGAATATTTTAAATCCTAAATTTAGTACAATAGCTGTCCTCTATTTTAATAATTTTAAGAAATCGAAAGTCACAAAAATTTGTTTTCAGAAAGATCGAAAAAATACAAACAACACTTAATCGCTTCAAAGAATAGAAAATAATTCACCAATTTATATTATTTACCATCATAGTCAATTTGATTTTGTTTAATATTTATTTCATGACCAAAGCTAAAAAGCCAGATTATCAATTAGACGATCTTTAAGTTTACCCCCAAGAAATATATAGACCAGGAACCGCCATATATCATGCGTCAAATCTGTGTACTGCAGTGGGAGGAGATCAAAACAAAGAATTCAGGGGCAACGCATCATTTTTGAGGGAAAAAAGCCCAAGGGTGGAATAAGAATATATTGCTATTGTATTTTGCATATTGACCAGAAAGCCAAAAATCATAAGTATTTGCTCTAACTTGATATATTAACTTGTTTTTTGTTGGACTGTAATATCACATCAGAGCTTTAGTCCTTTCCCTTCAACTTCTGTGGGGGCACTGGGTTTTTTTACATTCCTCCCACAGTTTACAGTACATAATATGCGTATATCTGAGTTGGGCGTTCCTGTATATTGTTCCTTGACTTACCTTATCTCACCCGGAGCTAGAATCTCAGTACGTTGAACTCTTTCTCCAGGTACTCGTTCCGCCTGGATTCAATAAAAAAATTCTGTCTTTGAAAAAAGCAGAACTTTTATGTTGCAGAATCCAAAAAAATTGAACACGATTTTATTCATAGAGAATATTTTATTTATAGAGAATATTTTATTCATAAAGAAGATTTTATTTATAAAGAAGATTTTATTCAAAGAGAAGATTTTATTCATGGAGAAGATTTTATTCAAAGAAAAGATTTATTTCGTAGAAAAAAGTATATGAGAAAAGCTTTAACTCTTTCTCTTTAACTTTTTTCTCTGTCTTTTGATTATTCACTATTGCAAGGGATTTTCTAATTTTGAACAAAACTATTCCTAAAACCTGGCCCTGTTACCTCACTGCAAACCAAGATGTGCTCGCTCTTATGCAAAATTCAAGGCGTTGCGACACTTTAAAGTCGAGGCTGTCTAACAATTTGATGACTAATTTTCAGAGTTGTCTATATTTCAGTGACCCGTAGATCTGGGGCGGGGACTGGATGCCCCGCCCTCCCTATATTCTATCTTGAACCTCCAGCCTGTGTTACCTGTAGTGCTAGGGCGGGGACTGGATGCCCCGCCCTCCCTATTCTCTCCTGAACCTCCTCTGTAACAAGGAGATAAACTGCTCTGGTAATCTTGGGCTCAGTATTAACCTATAACGAAGACTATTACAAAAATAATAATTTAAGATAATTAGTACTCACCGTACTCGACACCTTTGTCTCTTCAAATATGTGGAAGATATTGTTGTTTATCTAGGTTTAATAGTACTACATTCTGATAATTCCTATATGTTCTCCTGCAGTTGAATTGTGCAGGTAAATCTTTGAATAAATGTAGTTTGTAATTTCTAAAAAAAAAATTTCGAGAAGAAAATTTTAAATTTTTAAAGAAGAATATCTTGGAAGAAGTTCTAAAGTCTTTGAAGCTTCCTTCTAATAACGTTTTCCTCTAAATTCCAGATTCTTTCTTTCAAGAAGCAGAAAGTGAATCTTAAAAAGTTTCTATAATGAATTTAACTCCAACAGCAAGACATCAAAAATGCAAAAATATAATACAATTCACATCAATGGAATTGAAAACTTAACACTGATGTCTTAAGCTTTAACATTTTAAACAATGAATTCTGTTGAGTTAATTAGTCAAACTATATCAACCATAAGATTGCAAAGATATATACATTAGAAAATTAGACTTTGTGGTGAGTGTTCAGTTCCTTAAGGTACGTCCTAAAAGTTTTATGTTTACTTTTAACTTTCGGATTGTTTATAAATTTAAGTTTCTAATGAATGAGGGTAATTTAAATAAACTTGAAGATAAGGAAGTTTACATACAGTACACGATATAATAAAGGAAGTTTACATACAGTACACGATATAATGAAGGAAGTTTACATAAGTACACGATATAATGAAGGAAGTTTACAATCAGTACACGATATAATATATTTAACATTTTGAGAGAAAAAAAGTTTTTGGAAAAGTGTTGTCAGTTTTATCAGAATTATGATTAATTTAAAATAAAAACTTTTAGAATGTTAATAAAAACTTCAGCTGTAAATTTTAGCCAAGGAGACTTTAATTTGAAATGAATAAATCATACTGGGAACAGAAAAGAAAATTAAGTTTTTAAAGGGAGGATTCTCGAAAAATAAAAAGGGAAAGAATTGACATTGTATTAATTTTTATTCATATGCATTGGTTTGAAAAAAATATCTGTGCTGGGGTTTCCCAGCAATTGGGATTTAAATCCAAAATGTTACTCATGCCATGCTTATCGTATTTGACAGGCCTTTAACAAACAAACAATGTACGTTTAACACCCTGGAGCATGCCCTGAACCATCCAGGGATAAATGTGTTTGGCGTATTCAATTTGAATAACATTGCACTTTGGTCTAAATATGATTCAACAATCTTTAAACTTAAAGAAAAATGAAAGGGGGCAAAGGATGAAACCAAATAATCTCAGGCGTTAAACGATACGAAGCATATATCTGATGTTTCGGTCTAGAGAAATTGATATAAAACTGTGTCAAATTTATACGAAAATTCATATACATGCAATTTTGTTTGAAAGTTAACAGATCATATTCAACAAATACGCAACCAACCTGAAAACGACGATATCCCACAGGAGCCTGAGAATCTCAGGTTTGCTCCCTTTAATGTTGGCATCCGCCGACATTAAAGTATAAAAATCGCGAAAAAATAGTTTGTGTTTAATTGGTTCAATTATTGGAAGAAATATATGTGTGTTTAGATTATATAAGCTCGAAGCTAAGGCTGAGAGGGCTATATATATATTTCTACCCTGCTGGTAGACTTTAACGGCCATAGCAAACAAACATAAGATTCACGTTGATTTTCCCTGTCATCAGATTTCAGTATAAATGTTTTAAAAAAATTTTTGATGAAAACAATTTCACACAACTTTGAATTCCTAGAAAATGAATTGAGTCTTTGGCGCAAAGTCTGATTCTTTAATCCCTATATCTTTGAAATCCAATGTCGTATAGACCTCAGGTATTTCAAACTATGAATTCTGTTATGTCAAATAATATCAAAGGTTTACACTATCAATATCAAGTAGCAAAAATATAGGGGTTTGAAAACTCAATTCCTTTGAGAAGTTTATGAATCTGGGTTTACACCCTGTAGAGCGTAGAGAAGGTTTGTTATCTAAGTTTATAGCAATTTTATGCTGAAAGCCACACCAATATGTTAATGCTCAAATGCTTATTTGATCTAGCAGAGTTTAAAGTTTTAACTATCTTAGGTTAACAACATTGGGTTGCAAAGATTTAAACATATAATAATATATAAATTAGGAAACAAAATTTATAAACTAGAAAACCTATAAAATGAACAACTTGCCAGATACATTTCGGTGAAAAATACAATTATGTTTAAATACAAGACACACTCCAAAACAGAATCTGATTTAAAAAGGCAGTTTAACTTCCTTGTTGGATTGATTTATTTCATGTTAAGGAAGTTTACATACATACAGTACACGATATAATGAAGGAAGTTTACATACAATACACGATATAATGAAGGAAGTTTACATACAGTAAACGATATAATGAAGGAAGTTTACATACAGTACACTATATAATGAAGGAAGTTTACATACAGTAAACGATATAATGAAGGAAGTTTACATACAGTACACGATATAATGAAGGAAGTTTACAAACAGTACACGATATAATGAAGGAAGTTTACATACAGTACACAATATAATGAAGGAAGTTTACATCCAGTACACGATATAATGAAGGAAGTTTACAATCAGTACACGATATAATTAAGGAAGTTTACAGACAGTACACGATATAATGAAGGAAGTTTACATACAGTACACGATATAATGAAGGAAGTTTACATACAGTACAC